GCTTCAGCGGCGTTCCGGCAAATATCGAGCGAGAAATCCATCTCCGCCCCGCTACATTATACACCATTATACAGTCCACGCATCAACAGCGGAAGAGAGAGACAAAGGCGGCCGGGCGCGGTACCGTCCACACCGCCACCACCACCACCAGGTTCCGTGATCCGTGCGCCGGGCTTAATAAGCACTCGCAATCAGCACCCCCACGGGGGTTCTGGTGGGGGGTGGGGTGGGGTGGGGGGCGTGGGGGGGAGGGGCAAGGATAGAGGGGGGGTGTGAAGGGGATGACTTTGTGTCTGATAGTTCTGCTGAGTTGGCGGTGAAAGGAGGTGAGCGATGTTTGTGAGCGTGTCAGGGCAGACACGTAAGAATTTGAGCAACTCTGTGACCGTGGCGTCTCGGGGAGATGGTGGTGGTGGTGGCGGTGATGATAATGCGAATTCTGCATCACGCAGCAAGAGTAGACGACACGGCTCGGCATTATCGGACGCAGCGCAACGCGCCTATCCGGTGTATGATGTCGAATCGCGGAGCGCATCACGCGCGAGCCTCTTCTAAAATGGTGCAGTGGATAAGCAAAGAGGGATATCAAAGATCACCCGGATAGCCTCGGCAGATTGTTGGGGCAAGTGCTGTTAGCGGACACCTGTGATGGCCGAGACGGGTTTTGTCTCACAAGTGGCTTCGTTTACGCATCGCACCGGGTTCTCATTTGAGGCTGAGTGGACCTAGGGGAGGCCCATGAGCAATTCAGATAATCATCACCGGTGTTGGCCGTAAGCGGGAAGCAAACCCGGGTGGCCGGATTTGTAGCGCAGCGCGCTAACCGTTGCACTACCGCTCCCCAACATACACACACCACCACAAAGACAAAGATCCTCTTATAGCTTTATAATACTGTTGAGGCAAGTGTTGTTAGCGAGCACCTATGAAGGCCCGCCCGGCACACGAGGGGGTGGGTGGCCAACACCACGCCCGGCCGTCTTTGTCTCCAAAGTGGCGATGTTTACACACCGCACCAGGTACTCATTTAAGGCTGAGTCAACCTAGGGGAGGCCCACGACCAATTCAGATAATCGTCACTGGTGTTGGCCGTGAGCGGGAATCGAACTCGGGTGGCTGGGTTCGTAGCGCAACGCGCTAACCGCTACACCACCGCTCCCACCACTACACAAAGACCCACACAGACATTCATCCACACACACCTGAATACGTCTTTGTTTCTCTTCCAAGCCAAGACAACATTCCAATCGTCGGTGGAATTGAAAATGATTTGGGGGAGGAGGGGGATGAAGGGGGGTGGGTGGGGGCGGCTACATTGCACCCAACTAAACGCAGGTTACAACACCACACACACCTACCCACTCGCTCAGCCACTCACCCACCCACTCGCTCACCCACTCACTCACCCACTCACTCGATAACTCAATCAACCACTCACTATACCGCTTCACTCGGCCATTCGCTCAGCCACTCACACACCCACTCACACACCCACTCACTCACCCACTCGCTCAGCCACTCACCCACCCACTCGCTCACTCACTCACTCACCCACTCGCTCAGCCACTCACTCACCCACTCACTCGACAACTCAATCAACCACTCACTATACCGCCTCACTCGGCCATTCGCTCAGCCACTCACACACCCACTCACACACCCACTCACTCACCCACTCGCTCAGCCACTCACCCACCCACTCGCTCACCCACTCACTCACCCACTCGCTCAGCCACTCACTCACCCACTCACTCGACAACTCAATCAACCACTCACTATACCGCCTCACTCGGCCATTCGCTCAGCCACTCACACACCCACTCACACACCCACTCACTCACCCACTCACTCACCCACTCGCTCAGCCACTCACCCACCCACTCGCTCACCCACTCGCTCAGCCACTTACTCACCCACTCACTCGACAACTCAATCAACCACTCACTATACCGGCTCACTCGGCCACTCGCTCACCCACTCACTCACCCACTCACCCACCCACTCGCTCAGCCACTCACCCACCCACTCGCTCACCCACTCACTCACCCACTCGCTCAGCTACTCGCTTAACCACTCACTCGACAATTCAACCAACCACTCACTATACCGCCTCAATCAGCCACTCGTTCAGCCACTCACTCACTCACCACACTCACCCACCCACTCGCTCAGCCACTCACTCACCACACTCAGCCACTCACTCAACCACTCGCTTAACCACTCACTCAGCCACTCACTCACCCACTCACTCACCCACTCGATTAACCACTCACTCAGCCACTCACTCACCCACTCACTCACCCACTCGCTTAACCACTCACTCGACAATTCAACCAACCACTCACTATACCGCCTCACTCAGCCACTCGTTCAGCCACTCACTCACTCACCACACTCACCCACCCACTCGCTCAGCCACTCACTCAGCCACTCACTCACCCACTCACTCACCCACTCGCTTAACCACTCACTAGACAATTCAACCAACCACTCACTATACCGCCTCGCTCAGCCACTCACTCATCCACTCAATAAACCACTCGCTCAGCCACTCAGCCACTCGCTCAACGACTCACTCAGCCACTTAGGACACCCCGAAGGTGGATATAGAAACATGCCTAGGTGAATGGTCCCGAAAGTTCAATATTTTTTAAAAAGTGCCAAACATACATAATAGTGAGAGGGGTGCCCCCCCCCCACCCCATGCATCTATATGGGTCTCTATTTATCTCTATGAGTACCTACTAATCACGTTGGGTCTCTATGGTCTGTACGAGTCTCTATGAGTTTACTAAATGGTCCATGGTTCGGGTTGCGTGGCCACGATCGCACTGCTGTGGCTTGTCTTTAATGCGTCTCCATGGGTCTCGATGTATCTCCGTGGGTCTATAGGACCCTCTATTCATCTCTTTGAGTCCACATAATAATTTACATTTGTAAGGCGCGTTTCATCCATGGATCCCAATGCTCCCGTATACCGAAAGCAGGAAATAAGACAGAGCCAGCGCTAAACGACCAAAACTATTGGGGAAAGGCCCTTTTAAAGAGGTGAGTTTTCAGGGCAGATTTAAATAGCTCTTAAGATTATGATTGGCTTATTATCTAGAGGCCAACGCGTTTTATAGTCTTGGAGCTGCACTGGCAAAAGCCCCGCTTACTTTGGAATATTCAGCAGAAGGAAGTCAGAGGATCTCAAGGACCTCACTGGTGATGGATATAAGTTGATCAGTTCCTGTAATGTGGGGCTAAGCCCGTGGCAGCCTTGTAGGTCAATACGGGACCTTATCATCAATTCGATATTTGATTGGTAGTCAACGCAGGGACAAGAGAATGGGTGTGATGTGCTCACAAAGTGGAGTCCGTTTAAAGTATTCGAGCAAGCAGCATTCGGAACAAGCTTGAAGTCTACCGAGCACTTTAGTCCGGCATCCCGATTAGTAGTTGCGTTGCAATGGTCACGTTTGGGAGGACACGAACGCGTTGTCCGCTCTCTGTAAATCATCGGGCGACAGGCATCGACGCAGTCGGACAATGATGTCCTTGACCACTCGAGACACGTGGTGCCTCAAAGGGCAAAACCCGATCAGATCGGACACCAAGATTTCTGACCCCCTGCGATGGACAGACAGCGTCACCTATCTACAGACACACACAGTGAACTGATTTTAAAACAACATGGTAAGGGCGAACCAATAAATATGAACTCCGCTTTTTGTCGGCATTTAATGAGGGAACGTTCTTCCGAAGCCACGATCTCGCTAAGGGATAATGATGCAGACGATGCGACTGCACTCACACTATCGGAGCCTATGCGGACGTGAATTTGTGTGGCATCGGAATAGCAGCGATATGACAAGCCCCGATGTCGTAGCAAAATGCCCAGAGGTGCCATACAGACATTGACTAGAGTGGGGGTTTGGGGGGGCAAGTACAGGTCCCTGTGCAACACCGCAATTGAACCGGTCTAATTGGAGATGTATAACCATCAATTGTAACATAATAGGAGTGAAACCACTGTAACTAAAGACGAGAAATTCCCACTGAGTGTCCCAGTCGATGGTTGTCAAACGCACCACTGAGATCTATCAGGATAAGCACGCTCGCCTGCCCCCTGTCCACTTGCAGGAACACATCGTTGGTCACCCTCCCGGGAGACGTCTCGGTGCTGTGTGCAGCCCTGTATCTCTTCGAGTCTCTGTGCATAATCTCTATGGGTCTCTAAATATCTCCACAAGTCCCTACGGCTTCACGATATGGCCCCACAGACCTGCTTGGGCTGCATGGACACAATCAGTTTCGCAATGGACCACGTTACGACACTTGAGCGGAGTTACTTTAGAGTCCACCCCACAATCATCTCCCTCCTAGCCCCCCGCCCCTCGCTCCCACGAGTCTCTTCTGAGCATCGTTGTTGGTGGACGACGACGACGCGCAGTTTCAGGGCTTTGTCTCTACGCATAATCTCTATGGGTCTCTATCTCCACAAGTCCCTACGGCTTCACGATATGGCCCCACAGACCTGCTTGGGCTGCATGGACACAATCAGTTTCGCAATGGACCACGTTACGACACTTGAGCGGAGTTACTTTGGAGTCCACCCCACAATCATCTCTCCCCCCCCCCCTCGCTCCCACGAGTCTCTTCTGAGCATCGTTGTTGGTGGACGACGACGACGCGCGGTTTCAGGACTTTGGCGGACGGGCGCGCATAGCTCGCATCGCGGACTTCGCTTAGGAATCGGGTCGAGACACGCGGGCGACGCGGCGAGGGGCTGCGTGGCCCCTCTGGCTGAACGCGGCGCTGAACAAGGAGCGCCGTTGAGTCGAGGAATTGCGAATTAACGCTGAGTCGGGCGCGACGCTCGCCAGGACGATCTCGAGCTGAGCAGACGCGGCCAAGACCTGCCCCCCCCCTTCCTCCTCCCACCAGCCCTCACCACCTCCACGCCTCGTTCCATCGTTCTGGGGCGAGCCCCATAAATACAGCAGGGCAGACGTGACCAGAAGCACACAGCATCAACAGCTCGGAGGACCAGAGGCAGCTGCGAGCAAAGCCACCTTCAGCCACTCACACGACTCCGACTCGTCCTCCTCCTCCTCACCCTCCTCACCAACCGACTCTTCCGAACCCCCCTTCGTGTCGAGACAACCGCAGACCGCAATGGCAGAAAAGATGCGTATCCGGGGAGCTTCCGTGCGCTACGGCGGAAGCTACGGCGGGCAGCTGAGCAGCGTGCTGGGCAGCGGCGGGTCCAGAGGGTTCGGAGCAGCGTCCTCCTTCGGGATGGGCAGCAGCCTGGGACTGGGGGGCGGCCTGGGTCTTGGGGGCGGCCTGGGATTGGGGGGCGGCCTGGGTCTGGGGGGCGGCCTGGGTCTGGGGGGCGGTTTGGGGGGCGGCCTAGGGATGGCGCGGGCTCTCGGCGGAGGCTTCAGAGGGGCTGGTTTTGGGATCGGTGTGGGTCTCGGATTAGGCGGCGCTTCGAGGGGGGCCATGGCCGCCGGGTTGAATCTTAGGGGGCTTGGGGGCTTCGGAGGTGGATACGGAGTCGGCCTTGGTGGGGTGGGTCGAGTGGGGGGTTTGGGCGGCCCGGGAGCCGGTTTCGTATCGCCTCGCCGGCACCTGGGTGGACGCGGGTTCATGGTCGGGGGCTATGGCGTCAGCCCCGGGTTCCTGTATCCATCTGGCGCCGGGGGTCTGCCAAGCATGCCCTCCCTGCCCACCATCGACGTGGCCAACCTGCCCTCGCTGGACTTCGTGCAGGGCGTGAGGCTCAAGGAGAAGCTGGACATGCAGAGCCTGAACAACAAGTTCGCCACCTTCATTGACAAGGTGGGCGAGAAGCCGTCGACTCGGCCTCGGGTTTAGTGCCTCGGTGCGGCCGGGCAAAGCGTCGCCACGAGGGAGACGAAGGCGGCCGGGCGTGGTGCTGTCCACTCACCACCACCGCCTCCTCTCGTGTGCGCCGTTGCCGAACTTATTAGGTGCTCGCTAACGGCACTTGCCCCTATAAGTCTGTTAAGGCTATACGGGGGAGCTTCGCCTTGCGTGTAAATTTAGGTGAGCGCTACAAACCTGGCGACTCGAAGTTGATTCCCGCTCACGACCGACAACGGTGAGGGATGTTTGAATTGGTCCTGGGCCTCCCCTAAGGTCGACCCAGCCTTAAATGAACAATACCCAGTGCTGTGTGTGTAAACATACGCACTGGGGAGACAAAGGCGGTCGTAGTCATGCAGGCCACTCACCCCCTCGTATACCGCGCCGGTCTTCGTGGGCGCTACTCGCGAACAGCAGCACTTGCCCCAAAACGTCCGGTGAGGCTACACGGGGTGGGGGATCTTTGTCTTTGTGTGAGTGCAGGTGCGTCTGCTGGAGCAGCAGAACGCGATTCTGAAGGCGCAGATCTCCATGTTCTCAAACAACGACCCGAGCGGGCCCAGTAGCCCCGCGGTGGTCATCAGCTCCGTGACGGCCAGCTACAACTCCCAGATCGAGTTCCTCAAGCAGACCAAGGCGGCCCTCACGGCTGAGATCCAGCACTACAACTCCATCATCTCGGAGTACACCACCAAGTAAGGACGACGAGGAGCCCAGCCAGCAGCCAGCCACGAAACTCGAGGCGTAGATGAGTTTTTTTTTTAATTGGTAGCAGCAGCAGGAGCAGGATTAATCGTCGCGCTGCCGTTAGGGCTAATGCGTGGCCTCGAGTTTAATTGGCTGGCCGCGTGCAGCCATTGTGACGTCACCGCCGCTCGGTGGCTGAGCGGGAAGCACGCGGAGGCTGCGCGTCGTGGGGCTGGCGGGTTCAAATCCAACCTTTTATTTTGTTAATTAAATCACCAAAAAAAAATCTATAAAATTAAAACTTTCTCAAATTGTCCTCTCCACGCCAAAAAAATCAGAGCAATCCCACTGATGTCAGCGCGCGATTGTCCGCAACGGTCTCCATCCTCGGCACATTTAAGACGGGGGGTTTCGTCTTCGTCGATTGCTGTTGTGAACGAAGAGAATGGTGACCCCCCCCCCCCCCCGTAAATGTGGGGAGCGGTGGCGCAGCGGTTAGCGCTACGCTACGCGACCCGAGTTCGCTACCCGATCGCAGCCAACACCGGTGACGATTATCTCAACCGGTCCTGGACATCGCCTAGGTCGACTCAGCCTCAAATGCGTAAACGTCGCTACTCGGGGAGACAAAGGCGGTCCGGCGTGGCACTGGCCACACCCCCTCCCCCCCCTCGTGTCTTGTCCCGGCCCTAACAGGTTCTCGCTAACAGCACTCTGATTAAGGCTACATGGGAGATCTTTGTATCTTGTCTGTGTTACATGATGGTAGGGAGTGGACATGTTACATTCCTATGACAGGACCAGTGTATACATTCTACACGTCTATAAAACAATGTGACAATTCCACGTTCTTATGACAGGAGCAGTCCATTTATAACGCAAATACTGTTGATGTCCCCAAAATTGTCAGCCTATTTTATACAGGATGATGATTAAGATTGTGGTGCAGATGGCCACGATGGTGATACTGATGATGATGCTGATGTTGTTGCTGATGATGATCTTCGTCTTGAATGCAGGTACACGGAAGAGGTTGAGACGACGCGAGTTCTCGAGGTCGAATGGACCAACCTCAAGGAGGTAATTCGCATGCGGTTGGCTGATCACGCAGAGATATGCGAGATTCTAAAACCCTCGGGGCTTCAAGGCGATGTCCATGAGATGGAAGCACGGGGAGTGTGTTCGTGAACCCGTCTGGGTGGATCTTTATTTGTCCAGGAAGACCTCACTGAGTCCCGGGACTAGTTTTAAGGAGGGTTCTGCTACATCGGGATGGTTTGGTCACGAAAACGTAGATGAAAAGAAAACGAATGTTAAAAAGGAAAATTATTTCATAGGTGATGTTTCACGCGATTGTTATTCTCAATATGCAACGAGGAAAGGCTATAGCCCGAAACGTCACATATTGTATAATTTATGGCGACAGTGTTATTGGTGTTATTGTTGGCTGTGCTTGTGCACCGCTGCCAACGCAGCAGCAGCAGCAGTAACCACTTGGCCAGTCAACTTGTACAATATTCTTTGGTTCTTTCGGTAAAGTCACGTAGGTATAAGAATAAAACAACACAAGCGGTCGTCTTTGCTTCTTTCGGTGACTTTACCGAAAGAACCAACGAGTATGGATTCCTGAAGTCACGAAAGCTTCAAATCAACTTGGACAATGTTGAGAATGATGCCGATGCCGATGATGATGATTTTGCGATGCAATGATAAACCCTGAACGTGCGCTGAGTGATAGAGGCGAGGGGGGGGGGGGGGAGCGAGATGATGGTTGGGAGACAGAGGTAGGAGGAGAGGGTGGGTGATTCGGTGAAATGAGTAGATTACCTGAAGGCGATAAGATAAAGCCAAATATCCCTCCTATAGCCTTTGACAGGCCGTGCGTGACTCCTCTCTGCCAGGATATTGACTCGATCTACCTGGGCATCGTGGACCTGCAGACCAAGGTCACGGGCCTGGAGGACCAGATCACGCTCACCAAGCAGCTGTACACCGCGGTGAGTGGCCCTGTCGCTCACCCGCTCGCTGGACCGCGCACTCACCCCGCCTCGACGAGTCAAGTCGCTCACTCGCCCATTCTCTCGATCGTGCTTACAGCCCACTCAACTCGACCACTCACCAACTCGTCAACTCGTCCACTCAACAGCTCAATTACCCCCGAGCTCACCTGGGTCAATCACTCACCCACCCTCCCTCGTTTCTATTTTCCTCCATCACTCCCTTTCCTCGCTGCATCCCCCCAATCTCCGTCTCTCCCTCCCACCTTTGCCTTCCTCCCTTCCCCTCTACCGCCTCTGCCCCCCCCTACCCCCCTTCGCCTCTCCCTTCTCTCTGCCTCCATCCCTCCCTTCCCTCCCCCTCTTCCTCCCTCCCCCCTCCGCCTCTCTCCTCTCTTTCCTCTCTCTGCCTCCATCTCTTCTTTCCCTCGCCCCCTCTGCCCCCCCTTCCCCCCCCTACCCCCCTTCGCCTCTCCCCTCTCTCTGCCTCCATCCCTCCCTTCCCTCCCCCCTCTTCCTCCCTCCCCGCCTCTCCCCTCTCTTCCCTCTCTCTGCCTCCATCCCTCCCTTCCCTCGCCTCCTCTGCCCCCCCCTCGCCCACCCACAGAAAACTCGCGAGATCCAGGCCCTGCTCGCCGGAGGCTCCACCACGGCCGTGTCCATCACGGTGGACAACTCGGCGCAGGCGCTGGACCTCACCACGGCGCTGCAGGAGGTCAAGTCGCACTACGAGCTCTTGGCGGCCAAGAGCAAGGAGGAGGCGTTTGCGGCCGTGCAGCAGAAGGTAGATTTGGGGGGTTCGCACCCCGACCCGGGCTCTGTCAAAGTCGCTCACCTTGTGCAAGAGACCGTGCTCGACATCGCCCGGCGCTAGCGTAGGGACAGCTGCTGCCACTGACGATAAACTGACAGCTGAATTGATGATGATGATGATGATCAATTTATTGGAGGCTGTTGAAGAATGACATGTATTTGATGATTATCTGATTAACGTAGAGGTGATGATTACGATGATGACAATAATGGTGATGGCGGTGGTGGTGATGACGGTAACGGCGGTGATGACGATAACCACCACGATGACTCTGACGGAGTCCACCTTTGTTAAAAGTCATCAGTGGACCATGAAACAGAAATCCAGGGGCCGTCTCACCCAACAATGGGAGGAGAAAGCCACGCGTTGTGACTTCTCACAGTGACCGGATCACCACCCCCACTCCTAACCCCCTCTCCCACCCCCGCCAGATCACGGCGGTGAGCGGAGTATCTCAATCGAGCGTGCAAGTGCTGACCCAGGCGAGGGAGGAGCTGCGCACCTACAAGCTCCAGTTGGAGTCCATCACCCGCGAGATCGAGCGCATCCGTAGCGTGGTAAGGAGCAGATCATCATCATCAGCAGCAGCCTCATCAGCAGCAGCGGCCAATCCACTGCTGGATGAACGCCTCTCCAAAGCCGCCGCCGATGCAACAATCCACCGCTAGACACCGCTAGAGATGATGTCGCTGCTGCGCGCCTCTCTCCGCGACGTTGTTGCGCCGTGTTTTCGTGAATGCCCTTCGTGTCATTCTGCACCACGTGTCATCGCGGGCGAGGCGCGCGATTTGCCGCTCGAATGAACATTGAGGTATTGGTGCCCTATCTCCTAAGCAATGGCAATTCCACGTTCGTGTGGCGGGGGCGATTGAACCACAACACAACCACTGTTGATCTTCCCTCACAAAGTGGTACCTATATCGACCTTCGGAGGGAGGGATGATGGGTCGAGTCAACCCCGGTCAATCTTGATTGGAACTTGCCGCTCGTTCTACCGCTGAGCCACCGGGCTGGATTTGATGATGATGATGATGATAATTACGCTGATGCTTTTGGTATATAAATAATATTCATTAAAAATGTTGACTTTAAACTCACGGCTGTCGCGTTCCCCGCGGTGCAGAACGTGAAGCTGGAGACGCAGGTGAAGGAACTGGAGGTGAGCAGCACCACGGAGGTGGACCAGTGGCAGAGCAAGGTCACCGTGCTCAAAGCCTCGCTCGACGAAGTCCGCAAGGTGAGTGCGTCTTCGTCTGGCTCCACGCGCCTCGCGCGTCAACACTGAACCCTACCGAGACATTCACGACCCTACAGGTGCCTTAGTCTGGCTCCACGCGCCTCGTGCCATCACAATGAACCCCACGAAGTCCCTAAGAATGTAACGGGTATATTTACACCATTGGAACCTCATTTGCCAGTAAAATATATAATTGATTTTTTACCCTTCTATCTGGCAACAAAACTGATAGAAGGGTAAAAAAACAATTATATTTTTTACTGGCAAATGAGGTTCCAATGGTGTAAATGCTTACCCCGAGCTCTCATACTCTGATGGTGCATTGTCTTTGAGTTGTGCGCCTTTTGGCGTCATCTGGTCCAACCCACGTGAGACTAGGCTCTAAGGAAAGCTGTCTCGGGTGTGGACCAAACAACTTCAAGGACAGTGCATACATTATCATAGTTATGTTTTTTGTTTGCATTATGACTGTAGGTATTGTGGTCTATGCAAACATGACTCCTTGTAAAAAAGGTGTCAGTTTTGTTGCCAGATAGAAGGGTAAAAAAACAATTATAATGTAACGGGTCCTTTAGTCTCACGACACCCGAACGCGTTGGTGACCCACAAACCCCGGCTCTAACACGGGACCCGTGCCCAACAGGACATCGCGCACTACGCGCAAGAATACCAGGACCTCCTGGCCACCAAGATGTCCCTGGACATCGAAATCGCCGCCTACAGGAAGCTTCTGGACAGCGAGGAGGCCAGGTGAGGACGCTCAGCGTTTCAAAACATTCATCGTCGGCCACGATCGAGCCACTGCCGGATGGAGGCCTCCCTTCCCCACGCCGTCGCGATCCCTTACTGCTGTTATCTCGGTCGCTTTGCGATGGTTTGGCATTGAGCTGTATCATCGTTGTGGTCATCGTCGGTGTCTTTTTGCTCGCGCGCAGGCTGAGCAGCGGCGGCGGCATCACCGTCGTCACCCGGGGAGGAGGAGGAGACGTCGGAGGTTTCGGCGTTGGTGCCGGCCTGGGTTTCGGCGGCGGTGCCGGTCTGGGCTACGGCGGTGCCGGCCTGGGTCTGGTCGGTGCCGGCCTGGGTTACGGTGGCGGTGCCGGTCTGGGTTACGGTGGCGGTGCCGGTCTGGGCTACGGTGGTGCCGGCTTGGGTCTGGGCGGTGCCGGCCTGAGTTACGGCGCAGCCGGTCTGGGTCTGGGGGGATACGGGCTGGGCAGCGGGCTGGGCGGCGGGCTGGGCAGCGGGCTGGGACTCGGACTTGGCGGTGGCATCGGGCTGGCCGGCGGTTACGGGGCCTCTTCCATGGGCAGCTTCTCGACGGCAAGAGGCTACGGGGGCAGCAGCAGCTTGTACGGCGCACGGTCCCGCTTCTCTGGTACTTGAAACGATTCGATATTGTTTGTTGTTAGTTTTGGAGAGAGGGGATGGGCGGTGCCTTTGTGATGCTCGTTGTAATTACTGGCGAAGCGTCGCACTCGAATTGTAAATGCTGTGGGTTTACTCTCCAACGCAGCGGTGCCGCTGTACTCGTAGCGAATTTGCACGTTTTGTTTACGTGACAACCCTTACTAATTGGCTGTGTCGGGTTGTGGCGGGTTTAACGACACATTTATATTTTTGCGATTTAACCACCAAAAAAACCCCTCTATTATGCGTTTTTTTCTTTCATTTTATTTTACCAGGTAATGGCCCACTGAGCTGCATTCCAGCTCTTTTTTTCTTTTCAAAAGCGACTTGGCCATCACCAAATAATAGCTCATCGAAGTGGCTAATCGTCACGTGCAAATGTATAGCAGCCAAATGCTCTGAATGCACTTCGGTCACTAAATTTGGAGGGGAGAAACCGGAGGACCCGGAGAAAAATCCACCCGACCGCGGGGAGAGAGACACCGCAAAATTCCCAAATATACAGCAGCAAGCTTAATGGTCGAGGGTCGAACCCACGACCTCCTGTATACCAGGCGAGAGAATTAACATCTCGCCACCGTGGCACTGGTACTTCATAGAGACCCCCCACGCCATCTCCCATCACCCCCTCTCCTCGGAAGTGGGCAGTGAAGCAACATCCATTTTTCTTGGGTTTTTTCGGTAAAGTCACGTAGGTAAAAAAATAAAATTAAAAATGTATCAAGTACAGCTATCGTGCTGTGACGGTTCCACCTGAAGACGGAGGCTTGTGTTGCCTCCGAAACGTCGTGATTTTAATTTTAATTTGATTTTTTACCTACGGGACATTACCGAAAAAACCCAAGAATATGAATCCTTGCAGTCACGAAAGCTTCAAATCTACAACATCCATTGTTGTACTGTGCCGCTATGCTCCCCACAAAACCCCTCCGCCATGCACGAATGACCGGCACGCCGTGCGGGAGGACACCTCATCCAGCAGCAGATTGTGCATGGTCACACATTTTGTTTGTTGTTAAACCAAAGTTCTTGTCTCTTTCTCTCTCTCTCCAGCGTCCTCTTCAGGCTACGGGATGTGAGTCCATCGCTCGGCTCGCCTCTCCTCTCCACGACCCTGGTTCGAACTCACGCTTCCAATGTCTCCGGCTCCTGCCGGTCGCTGCCAACTCCTGGCTGATTCGCGGCTCGGCTTAGCCTTAGATGATGACGGCGATGATCAACGATGACGACGATGATCAACGATGATGATGATTTTCACTTCTATCGTGATTAGCACTGGAGGTAACCGGACCATAACCGCTACTCAACACAATGGGCCACGCGGTTGGGATTTGCACGAGCAAAGTGTTTAATTGATTACATCGCTACCCCCTCCCCTCGCCCCCCACTCCCCCACTGGCCCCCCTCCCCCCCAACCACGCTCACTCACCACCACTCACCAACCAGAAAGTTCAGTTCAATTCCCCCCACCCCCAAAAGTCCGTGCTGAGTCTTCACGTGTTCCGCGTGGTGGCGTCGGGTTGAGTTCTGGTCGCTGGGAACTGAGAACTAATCGCTTGGTTGATGTTGATGTTGTTGTTGTTGTGGTTGTTGTTGTTGATGCTTTGGTCCGTCATATTTTTTTTGAGCAGAAACTCGTGGCTCAACGCGCGCGCGGCTCTTGGCAATAAAAGTTGATCTTGAAGCTACGGAACTTGTGATGTTGTGTTCTTGGTGGTCACCCGGCAACTGTTATTACCTAAGGTCAACTTCAGTGGCGTAGACACGACATTATCAGTGGCGTAGACACGACATTATCAGTGGCAGTCACTACATTATCAGTGACGTAGTGACTACATTATCAGTGGTAGTCACTACATTATCAGTGGCAGTCACTACATTATCAGTGACGTGGACACGACATTATCAGTGGCAGTCACTACATTATCAGTGGAAGTCACTACATTATCAGTGGGAGTCACTACATTATCAGTGGCAGTCACTACATTATCAGTGGGAGTCACTACATTATCAGTGGGAGTCACTACATTATCAGTGGGAGTCACTACATTATCAGTGGCAGTCACTACATTATCAGTGGTAGTCACTACATTATCAGTGGTAGTCACTACATTATCAGTGGCAGTCACTACATTATCAGTGGAAGTCACTACATTATCAGTGGTAGTCACTACATTATCAGTGGCAGTCACTACATTATCAGTGGAAGTCACTACATTATCAGTGGTAGTCACTACATTATCAGTGGCAGTCACTACATTATCAGTGGCAGTCACTACATTATCAGTGGGAGTCACTACATTATCAGTGGGAGTCACTACATTATCAGTGGGAGTCACTACATTATCAGTGGGAGTCACTACATTATCAGTGGGAGTCACTACATTATCAGTGGCAGTCACTACATTATCAGTGGTAGTCACTACATTATCAGTGGCAGTCACTACATTATCAGTGGTAGTCACTACATTATCAGTGGTAGTCACTACATTATCAGTGGCAGTCACTACATTATCAGTGGAAGTCACTACATTATCAGTGGTAGTCACTACATTATCAGTGGCAGTCACTACATTATCAGTGGCAGTCACTACATTATCAGTGGGAGTCACTACATTATCAGTGGTAGTCACTACATTATCAGTGGTAGTCACTACATTATCAGTGGGAGTCACTACAATATCAGTGGGAGTCACTACATTATCAGTGGCAGTCACTACATTATCAGTGGTAGTCACTACATTATCAGTGGCAGTCACTACATTATCAGTGGAAGTAACTACATTATCAGTGAGAGTCACTACATTATCAGTGGGAGTCACTACATTATCAGTGGCAGTCACTACATTATCAGTGGTAGTCACTACATTATCAGTGGGAGTCACTACATTATCAGTGGGAGTCACTACATTATCAGTGGTAGTCACTACATTATCAGTGGCAGTCACTACATTATCAGTGGGAGTCACTACATTATCAGTGAGAGTCACTACATTATCAGTGGGAGTCACTACATTATCAGTGGCAGTCACTACATTATCAGTGGTAGTCACTACATTATCAGTGGGAGTCACTACATTATCAGTGGTAGTCACTACATTATCAGTGAGAGTCACTACATTATCAGTGGCAGTCACTACATTATCAGTGGTAGTCACTACATTATCAGTGGGAGTCACTACATTATCAGTGGGAGTCACTACATTATCAGTGGCAGTCACTACATTATCAGTGGGAGTCACTACATTATCAGTGGCAGTCACTACATTATCAGTGGGAGTCACTACATTATCAGTGAGAGTCACTACATTATCAGTGTGAGTCACTACATTATCAGTGAGAGTCACTACATTATCAGTGGGAGTCACTACATTATCAGTGGCAGTCACTACATTATCAGTGGGAGTCACTACATTATCAGTGGGAGTCACTACATTATCAGTGGGAGTCACTACATATCAGTGGGAGTCACTACATTATCAGTGGCAGTCACTACATTATCAGTGGCAGTCACTACATTATCAGTGGGAGTCACTACATTATCAGTGGGAGTCACTACATTATCAGTGGGAGTCACTACATTATCAGTGGGAGTCACTACATTATCAGTGGCAGTCACTACATTATCAGTGGCAGTCACTACATTATCAGTGGGAGTCACTACATTATCAGTGGGAGTCACTACATTATCAGTGGGAGTAACTACATTATCAGTGGGAGTCACTACATTATCAGTGGGAGTCACTACATTATCAGTGGGAGTCACTACATTATCAGTGGGAGTAACTACATTATCAGTGGGAGTCACTACATTATCAGTGGGAGTCACTACATTATCAGTGGCAGTCACTACATTATCAGTGGGAGTCACTACATTATCAGTGGCAGTCACTACATTATCAGTGTGAGTCACTACATTATCAGTGAGAGTCACTACATTATCAGTGGCAGTCACTACATTATCAGTGGGAGTCACTACATTATCAGTGGGAGTCACTACATTATCAGTGGTAGTCACTACATTATCAGTGGGAGTCACTACATTATCAGTGGCAGTCACTACATTATCAGTGGTAGTCACTACATTATCAGTGAGAGTCACTACATTATCAGTGGGAGTCACTACATTATCAGTGGCAGTCACTACATTATCAGTGGGAGTCACTACATTATCAGTGGCAGTCACTACATTATCAGTGTGAGTCACTACATTATCAGTGAGAGTCACTACATTATCAGTGGCAGTCACTACATTATCAGTGTGATTCACTACATTATCAGTGGGAGTCACTACATTATCAGTGGTAGTCACTACATTATCAGTGGGAGTCACTACATTATCAGTGGCAGTCACTACATTATCAGTGGTAGTCACTACATTATCAGTGAGAGTCACTACATTATCAGTGGTAGTCACTACATTATCAGTGGGAGTCACTACATTATCAGTGAGAGTCACTACATTATCAGTGGGAGTCACTACATTATCAGTGGGAGTCACTACATTATCAGTGGCAGTCACTACATTATCAGTGGGAGTCACTACATTATCAGTGGGAGTCACTACATTATCAGTGGGAGTCACCACATTATGAGTGACGTAGTGACTACATTATGAGTGACGTAGTGAATACATTATCAGTGACGTAGTCACTACATTATCAGTGGGAGTCACTACATTATCAGTGACGTAGTGACTACATTATCAGTGACGTAGTCACTACATTATGAGTGGGAGTCACTACATTATGGGTGACGTAGTGACCACATTATGAGTGACGTATTCACTACATTATCAGCTCGGGGGGTGCGCAATCGGTCAGGTGGGGCCCCCCAATATTTGATTCGTCTCGCACGGCCGCACCCAGGCGATTATACACCGCGGCTCCTCTTGCCTCACCACATCATTACTACACAGGTGTTAGTTTACACTGTTGTTGAAGACAAATTCTCATGGTGGTTGTCAAGGGGGCGAGGCAGGGCAGCCCCCTGCCCAGCCACGCGCGTGACGCCACTGGGCAACTCTGTCATCTCACCTGGATAGGGCCCTCACCTCGAGCCTCACCTCACCTGTGACTGACGCACGGCTCTGCGTTCCCGACACCGTCAGTACACCTAACCTGGGACTGAAATATCGACCTCACCTGGGAATCAACACACATCACCTGGTGATGCTACTGCTGCTGCTGCGTTGGCAGTGGTGGTGCAGAAGCACGCAGAAACAACAACAACAACAACTCAGCACGTACAGTGTCAATAACACCGTGTGCGTGGCCTTCAAAGGAAAATGTAGATAATAATTGACGCTTCGTGCAATGGGCCTCCAAAGCACATTGGACACGTGCTATGAAGCGCCATTCCTATTGGTCACGTGATTTGCCACTAGGAGGCATCAGAGGCACGTGGCGCGCTCGCCAAACCCAACAACTACAAAGACAAAGATCACCCGTTTAGCCTTAACCCACTTTTCAGGTCAAGTGCTATTAGCGAGCATATATATATATATATAGGCCGGCACAACACACGAGGGGGTGGGTGGCCAGCACCACACCGGGCCGCCTTTGTCTCTCCCCAGTGGAGATGTTGGCAGATTGCACCAGCTGCTCAATTGAGGCTGAGTCGACCTAGGGGAGACCCGGCGCCGAAGTTGAGATAACCGTCACCGGTGTTTGGTGGCCGTGAGCGGGAATCGAACTCGGGTGGTCGTGGTTCGTAGCGCATGAGGGTCCTGCTCGAGTGGTGCGTTTGGCGAGTGGGCCTCGTTCGCAAACGAGAGTTTGGTTTTCTCGTGGCAGGATTCCCGCGCAGATGGAGCAGATGGAGATTAGTCCACCCTTACCCGTGCTTTATCTCGTGGCGGGTAGAGCGAGGCAGGGTAACGGCTTCTCGACTCCGACGCGAAAGGGGGCTTCCCAACATTTGTGCGATCCACTGACCCTTAATGAGCAGGCAGCCTCTCTAATTTAAATTTGCCAAACTAATTAGCGTAGCTGTTTAGTACGTACCCGTACACTATATACATCAATACAACAAATATAGGCCCTTTATCTATCCACGGCTGGATTAAGGCCTCCCCACACCGTGTAGGTCATTGAGGGTCGTTTGACCATACTTCGCCACGCTGGTCTGTGCGGGTTGGATGAAGTTGCGGGTTGAGATATCAATCGCCATTAATGTCAGCTGTGCCAGGAATCTCACTTAGGTTGTCAGGTTGAGTGCGCCCTTTGTTAACAACTGCCCCATCAACTTGAAAATACAAGATTATTATTATAAAGTTTACATAGTATTGGTTAAAATATGTATATTTGCATATTTGTCAATATTGATGTAAGAAAACAATTATTCAACAAAAGCAAAAGAATGTGTTTGCACAATGTTGATCGTACACATAGATAAAAACAAAGATCCCCCGGGTAGCCGACACAGACTGTTGGAGGCAAGTGCTGTTGTTAGCGAGCACCCAT